CACAAATTGAACCATCGTTGTTGATGTTCTCCACAATCATCATCATTATCATAATGAGCACTGTAAACTTCTTCACTCTCGGAATAAAGATGAATTTTAGATCAATAGCAGCAGATATTTGTGGTTTCACAATTTCTATCCTCTTCTTAGTGCATTACATAGAAAAATTGATCATGTGTAAAGCTCAAAGCAGAAACATCTATGCCCCACATGCATTTTAAAAATTAATTTTCATGTTCACAGGTATTCATTCTTATTTTTACTTTTTACAGGTACCTTCTTTATTGAGTGCACAGAAACCGCGTCAGTTCTTCAAAATGCTACATGCAATTCCCTTGTTCTTCTGGATGAATTGGGCAGAGGAACAAGCACTTTTGATGGATATGCTATTGCATATGCTGTAAGTTCCCCATTATTTTCTTTTATTGTATGATTGATTAGCTGCATGCAAGAGTTCTGTTTTCTTGATAGACAGATTCTGGGAGTCTTTTTGCATTAGTTTACATGATGCTTGATCTGTCTTTCCCAGTCAACTGGTGTAATGCCATGATAAGTGCCTAAAGGTGTAATACACAATTATATTTTAACAGCTTTCTAGTACAATACATTAAGCTTCGTTGAGTTACTAGGACAAAGTATTACCTAAAGACGTGGCATGACATACCATATTACTTTATCTGAAATTACTGAAGCATTTTTTTGCCATCTGAATTATCTTTTAATGCATGTGACCTGTTCCTAAAGTATAAGATCACAAGATAAAGAATGGAGCTATTGTAGCTAAGAAATTGAGCAAAACTTGTTGGGGCTCGGCCATTGCCTTTAAGATTACTATGCGTTATTGAAAGGGAATCTTGCTTGTCTTCTGAGTCATTTTGGTCGTGACATCTTTGGTTTTGTTTCATACATTCAAGCTGTGAGGTGAACTTTTTGACATGTTACAAGTTCTCTCCAGGTATTCCAACACCTTATAGAGACGGTGAACTGCCGCTTATTGTTTGCCACGCATTATCATCCACTCACTAAAGAGTTTGCTTCTCATCCTAATGTGACATTACAACACATGGCCTGCTCTTTCAAGTTGAAATCTCAAAGTTCATCTCCAACAGAACAAGAGCTGGTGTTCCTTTACCGTCTAGCCTCTGGAGCATGCCCTATTTGATACATTGTATTGCTTGTGGCATGAACTAAAGTTGATAGATCCTTTACTGCATGAAGAATGGTTCAAGACACTTCTAGAAATCTCAAAGACAGATGGTGAAGTTAACGATGACCTATTTGATACATTGTATTGCTTGTGGCATGAACTAAAGTTGAGAGATCCACTAGCTGAAGATGTTAGTCTTTGAGTTATCTTGTATATTCGTGAAACTCTTCAGTGGGAAATGCCGATGAGATTATGATACTAACTGGAAGGTAGGAAAGCTTATTGTTGGAGTTTGTATTATGTTGTCTGTTCTATAAGAGAAGCAAGGTTAGTAAATACTTTGCTTTATGGAAAGAGGCAAAAGAAACTGCAATGTTGTAAAATTGTCCTATACTCCAAGAGAATCTTTGCCGTTATGGTTGCTTGATGAAGAGTTAATATGGAGTGAATAGAATGTTAAGAAATTAATTGAACATAGCCATCCTTTAATTGTTATTGCTTCCAGCACTAGGCAAGAAACAGAGAATAATTGTGCCATTTGCAACAAAGAGTGAAGAATGAAGTACACAATACAATAAATGCTGAACTTTTATTTTCTATTAGGTCAAATTTCAAAGACCTTTCTTCAGGTTTGGTTTCGTAATACTTTGTGGTTTATGATATTACTTCCCTTTTAGTTACTAGTATTTATGAACGTGCGTTGCACATTAATAATAGCACGCGATGGTTTAAATATTTAAATCATCTAAAAGCCGAAAAATATTATTACATTAGCATAATACGTGAATTCAAAATGAAAGGACATCATCATAACTTACACAAATGATCAATTTAGTCATGTTAGATAATTACGTGTTATAATTTAAAAGTATTTGATGTGATGGTATCTTACCGAACACTTCTTTGTAGATGGTGTTTTTTAGTGTATGTTTCCTTCTAATGCTTTGGTTGCTCTGCCATAACCAGAACTCTTGTTGTCGATATTGATATCCCTCTTGAAAGTGCAACATATAGTTGTTCCTACAAGAAAATATATTGCGATAAATAAAGTCTAATATTTAGAATGTTTGTTCTTGTGGTTTATTTATTATAATTGCAAAATATAAATATACCGAAAATTATTTTCACACAAAATTAAAAGGATATTCTTTAGTTTCGGAAGACGAAATTTGAATTCGGGGATAAAAATATACTTAGAAGTACATTGACCAAAATTATAATTTTTGCATGTATGACGTTATTGTCAAAACTTCTATATACCTTCTAGGCGCTATTACCTAACCTATCCAGCGGATCTATGTTTTTCAGTAGCATGACAGACATATTTTTTTCAAAATCAATCTATATGCAATGGAAGATCAATTTTAACTTAGTTTATTATATATACAGCGACACTAACATAAGTAAGAAAAAATAAACTTGACAATAAACCTGTGTGGGAGAAGGCTATTTGGTATTAATGTATTTAAGTATTGTTCTTGGTAGTAATTATTGGTTTCATCTTTCGCTGAGTCAAAATCTGAAAAATATTTTATTTTTACCATAAAATTTTGCAATCAATCTTTTATTCAATTGATCAACATATCTTCATTTCTGCTAGCTAAGATAGCTTTTTAATTTCTATCATGCAATTTGTACAAATTGCGTTTTAATCTAATGATAGAATGGTAAGTTTCACCAGTGTTTTGTGGAAATACTCTTTGGCTTGGCGACCCGTGTGGCTTGGTTGAATTAGAGAGATTCAGTCCTGATGGATTAGTTATGTGCAAATGTGTAACGATCCGACCGGTCGTTTTGGACATTTGCATTCTATTCAGCTGTTTGAAGTCTTGAGTAGCTCCATATGACATATTATGACTTGTTTGAATCGTTGGTTTTGATTTCAGATGATTCGAGATCGATTCAGAAGTGGGATTCTCATGTTGGAACCTTTGAGTTGGATGGGTATTTTGTCAGCGGGGCTGTTTGTTCAACGCGTTCACCAAGGAGGCATCGCGTTTGCGTATTAGGAATTTGGCTAGAGGAGATTGTGATTCGCGTTCGCGGAGGGTGGCTTGGTCTGTGCATCGCGTTTGCAGGGACTAGGATGCAAACGCAAAGGGTTATTCAGGGACTGTGAAGATGTGTTTCGTGAATGCGAGGTTGTTACCGCGTTCGCGAAGGGTATTGCTGGAGCAGTGATATAAAGTACTCTATTTCGAAGGTTTCAGACATTTTAGTATATTTTGAGCTATGGAGCTCGAATTTGGGCGATCTTGGAGGCGATTTTCACCACACGGACTGGGGTATGTGTTCACTACTCAATTTTGATTATATTCCGTGATTTCATCTTCGTTTTTGGCATTTGATTGATGATTTCAAAAGAAATTTGGGGGGGGGGGAGGGGTTGTCTAAACTTTCTTAAAGTGAATTTTTGAGTTTTGAACATTGATTCGGAGTTGGAATTGAGTGAAATTAGTATGGTTGGACTCGTAATTAAATGAGTTATCAGATTTTGTGAGTTTTGTCGGGTTCTGAGGTGCTGTCCCGGGTTTGACTTTTTGGTTGACTTTGAGTATTGTTATGACATGTATGTCCTCTCTCCGTTTCCTTCATCTTGTCTAAGACTGCTATATTATGACTCTTCCATCCATATTTCCCTATTTATTTCGTTACGTTCTCGTACATTTTCATGAGTTAAGCTGACTTCTATTTTTTGTCTTTCTTTTCTTTTTTCTTTTGTTCCTACTCATGTTCATCTTTATCATATTGTTTACTATTTTAATGCACTTTTATCATGCAAATACTTGGCAACGTGTTACTATTTCTGCATAAATCATGCTCCATATCATACTCCACTCGTGCCTATTATCAACATAGCAGCGCTTGATGAGTGTCCGCGCTTTCCTGAAATCACCCTTTTAAACCAGAAAGGCTTATTTGCGGTAGACTAGTCGATCGGCGGTGCAGTCGATGATCCCGTGCCTTTCCCTCTCAAGTTGTCCACTTGAGAGTACCAGTCTAGACCTTTCTAGAAACCACACTCCGATTTGAAATGTACATGCATCATTCTAAATCTAGTTCGGATTGAGGTGTCATTGACATAACAACCCGCTTAGATGAACCTTGTCCAAAGTCCGACAGGATTTCCATAATCTCAAAGGACACCATCATATTATGTGAATTACTTGGAGAAAACGTACCAACATGTTGATCATTATTGCGTAAATAGTCAAACCCGGAGGGGGAAATGGCTAACCTTTATTTGTTTGCAGAAAATAAAGCACGAAATCCCCAGGTCCAGTATGGTCCAGAATATCCCGCCTTTGCTAATTGACCGGTGGAAATACCTTGCACCATGTGATAGAAACCATGTGAGGAGAGTACTTGGTGACCTGCTGATGTTGGGCATATTTCGATATGTGTTGATGTTACTTTACCCATGTTTTGACCGCTTTTTGATGCTATTTGATCTTTAAAATGCCCAACATGGTTTAATTATTGGTTTTATGACTAATTTAGTTGTGTGTGATGATTTAGGGTGTTTGGAGTGCAAAAATATGAAGAAAAGGTGCTCTAGCTAGAGGAAGGGGGGTTGGATGAGAAGTGGAGGACGAGGTGGATGCGACGCATCCACCCCAGCATCAATCCCTGAAGCTGAGTCGGATTAGGAATAAGAGAAATTTGGCCCACGACTTTTGTACGCAATATATAAGCCAAAAACGCCTCTTTTAGGGCATCGAACATATTGGGAAGGGAGAAAAAGCCACGACAAAGCTGGGGAACCACGGAATTCATCTTGAGTTCTTATTTTTCCTTCTTTTATTGATTCTTATGAACTCTTGTGAATTATTTGATGATTGCATGAACATGAGTGGCTAAGAACCCTATTATTCTAGGGTCATGGGCGATACATGAATGTTAATGTTTGAAATTTAATTTGACAAAGTTGATTTTATCATATTGGGTTGTTTATTTAATTCTATTTTTAATTAATTTACTGAGTAGCTAACCGTGAATTACTATCTACGAATCTAGAGTTGAACTCGAAAGTGGAAATTCTAGATTGCATATAGAATTAAATAGAGCAAGTTCTTGAACCCGGACATCGGGGAACGGATTCGCAATTAGGATAGAAATATACCTAATTGTCTTGCTCGGTTGAAATACAGGAAGTGTAAATGCATTCTTGTTAATCTTAATTCCATAGACATATAGGCATTAAGTTAGCTTGAATAGGCGAGTAAGAACTCGACAGAGTTTTATGAGTAATATCAACCCTGTCAATCAACAATCCAGATAAATCAATTAGTTATTTTAAGCTAAGAATGCAACATGATTTTTAGATAACCCGTGACCCTGGAATATTATCTCGTATTGATTGTTATTCGAAATCATTTAAGTGTTGTGGTTGATCTTTAGTATTTCATTACTTGATAGTTTTTAGGTAGTAAATTAGAAAATCATCTATTTTGTGAGAAATCTCTTGAATCGATAAGTTATTTGTGTTTGAGTTAGTCAAAAGTTAATCATAAGTTTTCGTGGGAACGATACTCTACTCATTACTATATTACTTGACGACCACGTATACTTGCGTGAGT